AAAATAAAAATATACATTTATAAAATTTATGGATCTGTTTTTGGACTGCCTTTTAAATTAATCACCTCAAGTACGTCATAGAAGTTTTTGCAAATATGGCACATTAATATTCTAATTAATATTCTATGGCACATTAATGTTCTGGGCTTAATATTCTTTGGAACTAATTCATCCAATACTGAGTGTAGATCACTTCCAATCCACGCCATTTATTCCAGATTTGTGTATTCGACATCCAATTTTTCCCAGTTATTATGACGAATCAGTCCAGTACATCTGTTGCCCGCTGACGCTTCTGTACCGTTCTCTGGGTCTCCACTCAAGCGCCCCTTGACCCCATCTGTGGTCTTGTCTGCAACATATGGCCTGCCCACGTCCACTTTCTATATCTTATTTGGTTATGTTGATCATTAATTTCCACAAATTTGGTACACTGTTATTGAGAAACAATCACTATTCTATATCACTATTTATAAACTGTGTCTCAGAATGTCTCTGAGAGATTACGTTTAAAGAAATTACGGCGCTCCAGTAGGTACATTTATAAATATGTCATTTATGTTATAAAGAATTTTAACTTTCCATTTACGTCACAGACTTAATATTAATACAAGAAACAAAAATAAATAACCTGTTCTTGACAGTCGTCTACACAAAATCGCAAATTTATTTAAGGGGCAATGTTTACTTTTCTATAATAAGATTCCACAAAATTTGCCCTTTAAGAGGCTTAAAACATTCACGTCAAACGAAAATTTTATGTTAAAGGTTATTTACACAGTTTCTGCGTACTTGGGGCAAAATCCATAGGTGTGGTCCATTTAGCTCTTTCAGGTTGGTTTTGTAGTTTGAATGAGAATTGTAAATAATAAATATGAACAAATATTTATTTACAAAGAGCAACCACTAAAGATTATTATTCATTAATAATAATAATAATTTTTATTTGAAATGTAGTCCCATAATACACACTAAAACACAATAAAACAAACAATAATAAAATCAGTAATAAAATTAAAATCAATGAAAAACGAAAAATAAAACATAAAATCAAAATAATAAAATACAGTGACTAATAGAATTTGTAATTAATATTAAAATTATCAAAATACAAAATTAAAATTGTCAAAACTAAAATTACTACAATTTTGAAAGATAAAAAGATATAAAAATAAAATAATGAGATTGTGTAAACAAATAATAATTACGTAAACATGCACTTATTTCCTATTCGCACTTTGGTGCACGTCAGACGTTAGTGTTTAAAAAAATTGCTTCTGTAGTCCGTGCCAACAACCGCCACAAGTTCGTTATCTGAATCACGGTAATTAATCTCAGGAGAATCTCTCCTTCTCTCCTCTCCTCCATCTCCTTACGAATGAGGTGTAACTTATTTGACCATAGTCTAAAAACATAATATCAGTTTCAATTTGAATTTACCACGTTGATTATTATTGATATAAAATTTGAGTAACACAAACAAAAAATCCTTCGAGACCACTCTGGTTTCAATGACACTGACTCGGTCTATAGCTTAGTTGGTAAGAGTGGTGACCCCTGTGTGGCAATAGACATTGGTTTGAGTCCAGTCAGATAGAAGGAATTTTGCTTTGTGTTATTAGAACTTTGTATCAATAATAATAACAAACTACTCAGTGGAGTATTATCAAATCGTAGTAAAAACATCGTGGTATTCAATAAAGTAAATTTACCACGTTGATGTCATCGATCGGACCAACTTTGAATTCTAAATTTCAAATTCCGCCAATGTCGTTTCTTATCAGTCACATCATGGTTCCATGTTCTACCAAAGAATGAGCTTAAGTGAACGAGGATGAACAGGGGTGAACATTCGTTTAAATGACCCATAACCAAGGTTAAGGTTCCTATCGGTCGAATCTATGAATGCAGCTGAATATCAATGCATCAAGTCACGAGGTTGACGAACCTTGATTTAGCTTCAAGCTTCGGGAATGAAGAATGTACTTTGGCTAAAACAGCTTTCTTGCAGTTATGAATTCTCCCCGTTGACTTTTATAGAGGATTCTTTTTAAGTAGTTACTTCTTTAAATGGAATATAGGCGATACTTGTTGAATAATTAATTTTCTTGGTGTGGTTAAATAGTTATAGTGTCTGCGTAACTAGGGTATGTAGCAGTAAGTTTATTTTCTCGTAGATTACAGGTCGGCCATATTAGTTTTGTAAGGGCAACAAACATTTCTGCTACAGGATAGCAGGAATATTTTTTTCCTCTCCCCGTGCTGGTATGTAACTTGGTTAAGTATAGGTGACAGGGCTACAAATCTTTACGACGTGAAGTATTACGTTTGTAAATATGGAGTACAAAATAACCTTTCAATTTTCATAACTTTTTATTTGAAAATCGGATTTGTATATTTAATTATATAGGTAAAAATAGAACATAATAAATAGTTAATGTACCAGATGTTCAAATCGGTCACAAACTTAAAATCCTCTCTTCTAAGTAAAAGTACTCTGGTACGTTTTATTACTCTGACAACAAAATTGAATTCGAAGACACTAGGTAGTAAATTCTCACGACTTGAAACAATTTAGAAAAGAAAGGAAATTTATTTCTTAAATAGCTTCAACCGTTAGCAGAACATTGGTCCTTATGAAGTGATAACAGTAAATCATAATTGCCATCATACATCTTAATTAATAATTAAAGCAAAGCTGACCTTAAAGTTCAGCGTACAAAATACGTTTTTCTCTATAATGTTTTTTATTGTCATAGGTCTATTCTCATACATGAATGGTCTTTACTTTTTATGCCATTGAACACACAGACGATTCTTCGTTTCGATCGATTTCTTGGGGTTCATCAATGCCTTATTTTGCTACTTGGAGTACAAAAATGATGGTCGCATCTGTAATATCCATGGTGTTATTTCATATCATCATTAAGTCTGTGGGTACTTCTGTAGAAATCAAAGAAATCAACATGAAACATAAAAGCAAAGACGGTAGGTAGTTTTGTTTTAAATTGCGGCCAGTAAAGACATAAAAGTTCATGACAAATAACCTAAACTCCTCCAAAGAGTATTTATATATGAATTGCTAGCCGTAGAAGCTCTTTGCAAAGATTTGATTCAAGGAACCTCGTTAAATCCGCATTATGATCTTTGTTGTTTGTGGCTAATTGTGCCGGCGACAGACTGAAAGAATATAGATAATTCCATTGAAATATGAATGTATAAAAGAACCAGTTTGGCACAAAAACCTGGCATAAAAAGAACGGATATATTGAAAAGACGAGATTTTTTTATTATTACTGCGTAAAAATGTTGTAATGGCTTGAGCTATAGTTAAATTTAAAAGACAATTTTATAGAACGACGAGATTATACGCCCGACTAATCAAAAATTGTTTTATTATCATTTAATCTAAGCTAAGACTTATTTAGAGCAGTAGAGTTCCTTGTGAAAGAATTCATCCAGGGAAGTACTGCCACCTTACCTATTTCTGCCGCCAAGTAACAATGTGAGCATTACAGTGTTTCGGTTTTGAAGGATAAGGGTGTTGGTGAAATTATTTACACACGGGACTTGTCAACTTATGTCTTAGGGTCACAGACGCAGTGGCAGTGCCCCTCAGATCTTTGCGATATAAAGCTCCGAGTGACATTGCAAATCTTATAGTCAGGCGTGTAGCTTACCATCTGGCGCGCTACCTATTTGCCCCGTCACTTGATATTATAAAAAAAGCAGATTGTACAAAATTGGCTGCGTAACTAAATGTAAAAAAAAAACTACCATTACACAGCAAATTTATGTTTATCAAGCCCAGCTTTACGCTAATAATGTTCCGTACTAAGCCACTGCAAGCCTATCTTCTATTAGACCCTTCAACAGTATGAGAAAAATATGTTAAATCTACGATAAAATTTATGGAAATGGACACCTTTCCTGCTGTGAGGCCAGATGAAGAACTCGAAATAGACTCTTTTGAATGAATGACTGAATAAATAGACTTTTATCTTTCTCCAGTAGAAATTGCAGATACTGAACTTAATTTGGATGCCTCCAGTCTCACAAATTCTAGAACTATTCGGAATTTAAAATATTCAAAATTGCAGAATTGACGAAAATAACATAACCCAGGCCCCATATATTTACTTTCATTTCATAAAGCATAGTTACAACCTCTTTGTTGATTACACACATTGTTTGTGCCCTAGATTGCAGTCTTAAAGAGGATAAAACACTCTGTAAATAATTTTATTATTATTTCCTTAATGGCGGTGATTTGGACCTCCTTTTTGATAAGACCTTAGAGGATGGGAAAAAAAAAAATAGGACTATGTGGTCTGTGGATAGGACTAGACATTAGAAATAGAAACAAAGAAATACTGTTAAAATACTATTCAGGAACTTTTTTTATATTGTCAGGAATGTTTTATTATAACATAGAGTGTCCAAGATTCCTCTGCACATAACTGGCCCAAGCGAAAACCATCAATGGCAGTGAGCATACAAAGTAAATATCATGGATCTCTGGAGTGTCAAATTGAACTTCTTGCTAATTTACGGCAAACGGCGATCATAAACTTTAAGGATTTTAAAAGACTCATTTTCTTTGAATTTAAGTCACAGTTTTGATTTTTCAATGATGAATGATTTTTTCCATCCTCTAAGTTTTTATCACAGAAAAAATATTACTTTTATCCTTATTATAGTATCGATGACTTTTATAGTGTTTTAGAAACAATAAAATTAAAGATTATCTATGCGCAATGTATGCAACAAAGACTGCAATCAAACGAGAAAGAAGAACAGAACATTCGCTGAAGTGTCAAATCACAAAATTTGATTTATTTCGACGTTGGCGAAATCGTCGCGCAAAACGACGGAGCCATAGATACAAAAGTTGAAGTTGAATTTAAAATATTATAAATAAATCATAGCAATGGAATAAATAGAATTCAAAATAATGTCAAATATTGTAAAATTTACAATACGGTCATAGATTTAGGCCACGACTAATATTTTTCACAAAATATACGACTTTGAATCCTCCTAAATAGAAATAATATTAAATACTTACTTACTTATATATACTACTCGTATAAGCAGGAATCGAAATAAATACTTTCTTAATGAGTGTTTCTAATATCGGGTTAGCTAGAAGCCAGCCATCTGTTGGGGGAATTAACAAGGCAGTAAGTAAACCTCCAAGAAGTAAACCTATTTCACAAAAATGTAAATGTAGAAGTCATATTACACGAGTTGTCATTGGAAAATTGTAACATTTTAATCACCATTTCAGGATAGAGCAGCAACAAGTAGGCTTCAAATCCGAAGACAATCGTATGGGTTCCGCACCGAAGTTCCAGGCGTTCGACCAGTTGAAGGAAGATCATCCCAGGTAAATAGTTAAAGCACTTGTATCATGGAAATCGGGAACAACGAACGGTACCACAAACACCCAGACCCGAGACAATATAGAAAAGTTAGTTTTTCTACACTGACCCGACCGGGGATCGAACCCGGCGACTACAGATGTGCAAGTGCACTCGAGTGGTTAGCACATCTGTAGTTGCTTTCGTGGTCTACCACTGAGGTAGTTGATGAAAATAGTTTATTATGTTTTTTCTGTTTGTGTTCTTGAATTTTTTTTGTTTATTCCTGAGAATATGTATTCGACTGATTCTCTCTCTGAAAGTCTCTTATAAATTATTAATATTACTTATTCTTATAATATTATTAATTTAAAAAAAATCAAGGCAACAAACACGAGTGTTGTTTTTTTCACTACACGCTAAAAGAAATTGCATTGTGTGGTTAAATTATTTATATTTATGTTAAACTGTTAAACTAGATGTCTATTAATTACTAATAGACATCTAGTTTAACAGGATGTGTAACACTAAATAGAATGTGTATTTTAGGTTGGATTTGAATTCAAACGTCCAATCCTTGCTTATTTTCCTACCTACCAATTGAATCCTTGTGCAAAATTCAATACATTTTATGTGACGAAAATGGCGCAATTGTTGCTGGAAGAAAATTTTACTGGCCATAAATATAACTCTGTGGTACGTTCTTTCTTCTTGTGCTACTTTACAAAAGTTTACATTTCTTTTTAACCGACTTCAAAAAAGGATGAGGTTGTCAATTTAACTGTACTTTTTTTGTCATGTTACACGATCACTCCGTCTGTGAACCGAATTTGATGATTCTTTTTTGTTGGAAATAGGATATCTTGGTGTCAGTGGCGAGACGTGAATTTTTTTCTTGGTAAATCTGAAGCTTTAACTTTTTTGAAAAAACAAAGAACACTTTAACAAAAATTTGTTTTCCCGTTAGAAAGGCGCTTGGCAACATTTAAACACAACACTTATACTAGTTCACTTCATTTCACAGGATAACTTATTCTACACATAGAATAACCATAGCTTTTAAAGTTATTTTATATTTTAAGCTGCACGTCGCGATACGAAAGTATGTAAACAAATACATGAATGCTAAGTGTTGCTGTTTTAATTACCTACGAATTACCATGACTTTCTACATTCACTCGTTACGTAGTCCTATTAAAAAGAAACACCCAAAAATGTAGATACATACCCGTACCTGAGAAGCATTACACTATAACCGCCATTTTTGTAATTTTACAGGAGAAGCGATTTTATGTCAAAATGCAGCACTTATAACATTTAGGATGCCATAAAAATAAAACTGATCAATTTTTAATAACAGTATGTCCTAATATTCAAAGTTTGATCATTAGAGATCAAGGCTGTTTACATAATGAGATCAATTTCTTCTTTTTAGTGATATTTATAACAATAAAACAAAAATCACATACCGTGTTCTGCTTTTAAACAAAAATCAAATAGAAAAAAGTTACCGTAATATAATGTGACACCTCTTACAAACGAAAAAAAAAATACAACATGAAAATTGTTGTTTTATTATTGTAGTGTATTATTTAAACTAAAGTAACCTTTGTCAGTATCAGTCATCCCATCATACAGTCGGTACCTACAATGATAATTAAAAATAAAAAAAACCATTGTAGGTACCGATCGTGTGATGGAATGACTGATACCGAGAAACGTTATATTAGTTAAAAAATAAGTTTTTTTTTCTTTTTGTTGCTACAAAATTTATGAAGAAGTTTCTATTTATGTTCAAAATTATCTAGTCTAGCCCGCTACTACAACGCGATAGTTGCGTACGGGACAAACGCCCCGGTCACATGTTACACAAACCCCGACGAGACCATACCTAAGTCCGGGTCCACCAGAGACGCCCGTGAAGGCGTATCATTGGCGCAGTGCGTGGCCCGGATGCCCGCCGTACCCTGGTTTTACCGAGAGCCCGTGTCTCTCCGGAACTCCCTATATGTCGGGTCAGTAGGTAAAAACAGCACTCGCTGTGTTAACAGACTAACATCACTCGAATGAGAACCTAATTTGTAGCTTTGACATGGAGGTGTTTGCCGAGTTGATTCATGGCCAATTTGTAACGAGCTGTCCGATATATTGTTAACAGAACCCACTGATTCGATTGGCACAGGAACTTTTTCATATTTAAACAGAATTTTTTCTTGATTTTGTGTAGGGGTAGCGAGACTATCTAACCTCAATTCGGGGATTTCGCGGTGTATTCCTTGATCAGACACCGGCGAATCGTGGTCTATATACCATTATTTGTTTTCGTTATCTTATAACATTGTAATACAGTATCTATATTAAAATTGAGCATAACACTGTAACTCCGAACTTACAATAAAATGCTTCGTAGTGGGTAGCGGTCTTACATCTAAATACTTTTAAAGAACTCAGTACCTATGGCGAATTTCGTAGACACAGTTTTATGGGTCGATAGAGCTCGAAAAATGATGTTGGATACCGTTAAAAATTCAAAATCGTAAAAAATGGAGTTACAGTGTTGTTTCTCAGGTACGGATATTTAACACTATTTATCGTGATTTACTAAACAGAAATTAACCATATTTTGTATTAATTTGCTTATAAAATAATTTTGTTACATTATTTTAAGAAAGTTTTACATCTGGCAACGATTCTAACATTAAAACAAATTAAACTATAACGTGTTGGAATAAGGTTTAAATTTAAGTGTACGCTATACAACAATAACTTTAATTATTGCTGCTTATCGGCCGCCATTTCTTTATATGTTACAAGACGGATTTTTGCAAATGTGTGCATATATTTTGATGGGAGCGCGTAGATTTTATGAATGAAATAGAACACGTCGATCCGACGGCTTACCTCGCGCTGATTGGTTGAGGTGCATCGGAACAAGTTATTATGCGTTTAAATGTGAATATTTTGAATAAACGTTGTTTAAGTGGTGGGGTATGCGCGGTGCAACTGGTAATAGGTATGCGTGATTTTTTAGGCAAGCCAGTGGGAATCGAGTTACATGGACGCCTCGCCACTGCTTGGTATTGGTCCAAATTTGAAAAAAAATATTCCACCTCTAAGGGTGGCAAACTACGGAATAAATCTGGTTTTGCGCGCCGATTCCTGTAACCGATGTCAATATAACTTGGCAAATAAATGTAATTCCACGAACTTTTGAGATCTGTTTCTTTTATAAAAATGTTACAATTATGTGAATTACATTTAATAACATGGCCATCAAACATGTGTCATCGACTATTTAAACGTTGTTGAAGCCGTAAATTATCCATAACCGAAAATAGTATTGCTTTGTACAATTGGCCGCACGTCAGCGAATTTGTTTTAGTTCCTTCTCATGTTACTGTTGCAGATTTTGTTTTGACGTCTGACGTGTACTTTACTGACGACTATGGTTAGTTCGTAGTTAGTGCAATACGGTGTCAAGATACCTACAGATTGTTCGATTTTTTGACGTTCGACGCATGTGTGCAGACAAAATCGAGTAAATTACTTACACAAAAGACGATCGACAATGTATTTTTTGTCGATCGATACTGTGGGATTTACATTAGGCGTAGGTGCGATTTTAACCTGTACAATATGACTGATCGCTAACAGGTGACAGTCCCATATCTTTTCTACACAAGTTTTGTTTGTAGTGACCCTCCCTAACAACCTCATGGTTATACAGGAAGGGCTCTATAATCTGTGCAAGCAAGCCCGCGGGTAAACACGCACCTACTCAGTCAGGTGCTGACCCCAGATCAGCCCGTTTGGACGAACTACATCCGGTTCTCAGAAGGCTTAGTGCCTTGGGTGCTGCTTCAGGTGCAATCACAGTACCCTCCCCATTTTCCAAATAGGTACCAGAGCCGTAAGCGCGCTCACTTCCCGTTGCGCATTACGCAAGTAACGGTTGCCAACGCTAAGTCGTTCACTCTAAAGTCCACTACCAAATCTCCTCTATAAAGCACGCTCACTTCCTGACGCCGCGAAACGGCCTCTCTCCAGTTCCCAGATTCCTACGTGGCTGGAGGGACCGGAGGATGTCTAGCTCATCGTCTACTAGCTCTCCGGGCTAGTGCCGGACATAGCTTCCGACTTAAAGGGCAAGTCACGTGGCCCGCGCGTCTCCTCGCCTTAGGCCCTCGTCTAGACCGCTATTAAGACGCGCTAGCTGCGCGCGGGATGAACGCTCTGGCCATATGCTACTTAGCATATGCTACAGATAACTATGTCAGAAGTGAGTCCCATACCGAAGTCGCTGGTGGACACCAGCGACGCCCATGAAGGCGCATCACTGGCGGAGGGATTGGCCTGGTCGCCCACTGTAACCTGGTCTTTCCGGTGAGCCCGCAGTCTCCCAGGAACTCCCTATCTCTATCAGGTGATAGTAACGATTGTCAAAAATCGATCAAATCTGCAAATTGTATTGTATAAAGGCAGCGATCAGTACATAGACTATCGTCGGTCGCTGTTCGTATTAAACAGCCAATAATCTTCACAGGACGTCGTGGTTTGCGTCCGTACTTACCACCATTGTGCTTAAACTAGGTCTCACTAAAAACATCTAATGGTTTTATTACTTCGTCCGCATTACTTAAAGTAAGGAATAAATTATTTAAATTATTTATGATAGTGTTCTCATTTCAGGATACCCCAAACCTTGCCCTCCGCACGGCTTACGAATTGATGAAGCGAGTCAAAACGATGAACTTCAATCGTTATAGGATTATTAGCATTGTTACTATAGGACAGAAAAGGTCTCAAAGCTACAATAATGCCATTACATTGTTATGGGATGACGAGAGAGATGATTACGTCGATGTTCACAAAGAACTTTCCACTTGTTTTATACAAGCCACTATATTTGGGATTTATCTTGACTAAAAGTATTTTGTTGGAAGTGCATCTCTAGTTTTTAGTAGAATATTCATTTGTAGTCATATACCTAGCTTTGTGGTTTGGAACGCTACTTGGATCATTATCATCATATATTTATAATATTTAGATGTCCTTACTTTAGCTATATCGACTTATTTTTGTGTTATATAGGTCTTACGTTAGATTTTCTCATGACTTAAATATGTTTAAGTCTTTAGTTTAATTTAGTTTGATGAGTCATTACAATTTATTTATTAAATATAACTTTCAAACTATTTAAATAACATAAACACGTACTTTAATAATAGCTAGTCATTGTAAAAACGTTGGTTTGTAGCTGAGTAGCAATGATAAATACAGGTTCGAATACAGGTACAATTACTTAAGAACCGTGTTAGCATAGTTTGGAAGAAGGGTTGGATTAATTCCCACCGGGGCATCCTTTCGACTCGTATATATTTAGTTACTAATTAACACTTCCAATGAAACCTGATCATCACGAAAGTGCCAAATTCCCAAACCCCATTGGTATAGTCATGGATTATGAAGTTGCAGTAGGGCGAGTGCTGTACCCGGGGGTGCTTGGATGACCAAGGCACTTTGCCAGGCCTTTTGAGAACCGGATGAAGTTTGTTTCAACAGGCTGATCTGGCGTGAGGACCTGACTGATAGGGGTGTCTGTGTAAGCTTGCTTGCACAAGTTGTAGTTTCCTTCTCGAATAACAATAAAAATTTGTAGCTGTAGAGCTTCTCGTGAAAGAGTTCATCATGGGAAGAAATGTCACCATAACCGCTGGTGAAACTACAGGCATAGGATGTGATGAGTAGTTGGGAGTATTTTCAAGTCTCTGCGATTTAAAGCTCTGATGACACTGCAACTATTCTGTGTGGGCGTATCACTTCCCACGAGGCAAAGGACTTTGTTATCCCGTCACTTGATATTATATATAGATAATCCTTACTTTAGAGGAGGCTCATGCCCAGTAATAGAATGATTACGACTTTCTCAGTGTTACGCAAACAGCGCATTTAAAATACCGGGGGGATACGCAGTGTTTAGTAATTAGTCTACCAATATAGTTATATACTAATAAAAGTAAAATTATATATGCTGTGTTTTAATGTGCCTTAAGCCTCGATTACTATCAGAACCGATGTCGCCAAAACTCACACATTCTTAATTTGAAACACTACAAATTCATGATATTGATTGGTCGTAGCATTGACTTACAATTATATGGACGTCTCGGGTCCGCGCTAAAAAGTGTCCGCACTTGTAAGGCGCTAAAATCGTATACAGAGCGCCAAACTCCGCTTTAGTCTTCATTTGTTCGACTGACAGCGCGATACTGCGATGACATTACAATTTAAATTTCGAATAGGTTGACTTGGGACATGTTTTTCGTGGTTTTTGTATTAGACCCGTCGTCCATTTAATTGTAAGTCAATGGGTCGTAGTTTCAAATTTAAAAAGAAACAGGTTCTTAACATAATTTAAACTTTACCCTGTTGGCATATCGTTGAAAGTTCAATACCATCAATAGGTATTATTACAAGTTGGACGTTTTGATATTATATTGAAATTTCAATGTGCTGCCATTTAGTGGTTCATTGCTAAACGACGACGAATTGGAGTTATTAATTTAGTTCTCCAAACAAGAAGCAACCATATTGCAGGGGTATAAGCTTTACTTTCGTTTCTTGTAACAAAAAAAATATTTCCATAAACAGAAATTTATTAAAATGAGACTTTCCGATGATGTGAAATACCACCACGGATAATATTTTTGGTGCGGCTTTCTTTTTTGCACTCCAAAATAGCACAATATGGCAATGTTCTAGGATTTAGAGATTTGCACGAAAGAATGACACAAGTATACCATACAAAGCGAAAATGGCGACTTCGGAGCTCAGATCGGTCTTTCGAGACCTGTAGTAGGTACGCGTCAGACGTTATATAACCACTTTTACTGTACTTATCGTTCTGTGATGCTAACACTAAATGCAAATAGGCTTCAAAGGTGTTGATTAGCGTTAATGTACGTAAACATGTGTGACATAGTATGCATAATTGATTGAGACTGCTTGTATGATTTCGAATTGTTGCTGTTACGCCATTATTTTGAATTTACAGTATAGTACGTGACCTGTAGTGATGTCATACGATTAGAAATGCTCTTTTGTGACCTGCAAGGTTGTTTGAGGTAGACAAAATATTGTTCGATGTACACTAAGTTTGAAAGTTATATATTAATGAATTGTAGATTTTATCACGCATGGTATTTCTTTTGAGGAGATTAGATTTAAGGCCTCAGTTAAGCGGTGAAGTCCAGTGAAGAAGCGTGGCATACTGGTTTAAGAAGTAACTTGTTACTTGGTGTAACGGGCTGGTGTCCGCAAACCGACGTCAAGGCGTCTATTTTGCGTGTTAAGAAGTAATTAAATCTAATGTAATTTAACTGCACTTTTAAGTAGAGTAAAGAAAGGAAAATTATTATAGAATAAAGGGCATTGTTGAATATTCAAACTCTATGCTGTTAATTTGTTGTGAGACGAAATAAAATATTTATTATTCTTACTGAGTGTGTGTTTACATGAAACAGAATGGCGTATTCAGCATCGACTCTTCTGATGATGCCGAAATGTACTGATAACTAAATGTGGTTTCAACCTTTAGTTGTAATTTTTGGTATTGTGAAATCCAAGAAAAAATTTTTTTAACTTTTTATTTATTTATTTATTTGCATTCCATAATGTACATTACAGATGTTTTACATATATTGAGATCAAATTATGGACCCTGAATAGGGCACAGCAAATAGTAGAAGAGAGGACTAGTCTCATAATTGTTACACTTACTAATATATTATTATTTATTTATTTATTTACTAATAATAATAATAATAATAATAATAATAATAATATGATATATACCAACGCCAACCGCTTTATATTATTATATTTATTATCGACTAGTTACTAAATTCAGATACCAAATTTATCTTCTAAAAACTCTTTTACATTATAATAACTTTTCTTTATGAGAAAATTCTTTAAGTTTTTAAAGAAAATCTTGTTATTTTGTTCATTTTTTATAATTTCCGGAAGATTGTTATATATTTTTATTGACATGGTGTATGGACTAGATAAATGCATATTTAATCTTGAATATGGTAGTACTAATCTGTTTATATTTCGTAATGTATATTTAATGGGGATGGCTTTACGGTTTTTATACAAGTCTTGATGGTTTCGTACAAATTTACAAACTTCTAGTATATAGATACATGGGAGAGTCAGGATTTCATGTTTGATAAAATGAGGTTTACAGCTATCTGTTTGGGCAATATTTGTGAGGATTCTAATTAATTTCTTTTGTAAAGTGAAGAGGCTAGGCGTATCCGTGCTATTGCCCCATAGAATTATAGCATAGTTTAACCAAGCGTAAGCGAAGGCATAATAGGTAGTTAAAGCAGTTTTAAAGTCTGTAGTTTTTTTTAATTCTCTTAAAGCATATACAAATTTGGACAATTTAGATTTTAGCTTTTGAACATGTTTTTTCCAATTTAAATGCTTATCAATGTCAACTCCCAACAATGTATAAACATCAACGGGCGTTATTTCTGTACCCTGGTATTGTACGGAAACATATAGCGGGGTCTTTTGATGAGGGTGAAAAGTTATAATTTTAGTTTTTGATAAGTTAATTTCGAGGTTGTGATCGTTAAGCCAATTTGTTGTAGTTTCAAGCAGAGATGTAAGGCTTTCCTTCAGATTTATACTATCATTACATGAAGTGAGGATTGAGATGTCATCAGCAAATAACACTATTCTATATAATAAATAAAACTATTTTTAATAATATAATATATTTTTAATATAATAAAACTATTCCAATGTACGTCTAATCTTCAATTCTCATGTATTATTCATATAAACATTGCAAGCAAATCTTCACAAATTAAAAGTTGCTTTCAACACTTTAATTGAATCGTGTGATATTCATATTTTGGTTATCAGCTGTATGGACTAGTCGAGACAGACTAAATAAACAACGAATACAATGCAGCCATAAATAAACACATTTGATTAAAAACTTTATTACACACTCGATAGCTCCGAGCTGTTGATTAAATTTTGAATTAAATGGAGGTCTGAATGGCGTCTAGTCTATGTTTCATGTCTATGAGAATTGTGGAGCGAGGCTTACACTTATGTACTAGCAAATTCCTGATCTTATAGAATCTCTTTAATAGAAGGGTCGGTATAATGTCTGTATAAAAGGGTAGGTATAATGACATATCTTCTAAATGACCAGATCAGCATAAGGACAAGATCGCAAAACGACAACCTCTGTAGAAAGACCATGACTTACAATGATTTGGTAGCAAAACGACTAGATATCGAAATGACCATATCGTTAAATAGACGACATGATACAACAACAATGTACAGTTTAGTTAAACTTGGACCTTTTCAAGGCGAGAGTTGATAGACGATACTTAGGTGTACATGCTACATCGTCGACCTCATCATCTCTTTCCATCAGGTGTGGAAGTCAAATGCGCACTTATTTTTAACAATAATAAAAACAAAATTCAAAAAATATGAATGAAAATAAAGTTATAAACTTGTTTCCATTTTATACTATAAATTGTACTTAATAGTGGAAATATTTTTGAGAAATGTAATGTCAGTCTTCTTAAGGTTCGCGTGGCTAAAGTTTCTATTATTTTCAAACGCTGGAACTCGGCTTCTTTTTTTAGTGAATGTAGATTAATGTAAGATTAATGCAGACTTGTGCTGCATTCGAATATTCTACATGCGATTTCAGTTAAAAAACTCACTGTAGATATTATGAATAAGAGGATTATAATTTTATTTTACAATAATTTTTATTTGGCAAGGTTGCTTAAACAAACAAAAATACGTATACATATAAAATTTTGTTTATGATGACACTAAATGTTTAACCAAACTGTACTTTGAAAAAACAATAACAAAATCTAATTATTTTGCTACCTAGTCGTTGTACCATGTTGTCCATTTTAACGATATAGTCATTTCGATATCTAGTCGTTTTGCTACCAAGCCATTGTCAGTTAAAATCTGTGTCGCTTTGCGAT